TACATAGAACCAAAAGCTATGTTTCCGGAAACATAGCTTTTGGTTCTATGTATGACCGTTCTGCATGCGTAAAAAATAGTGAAAGTATTTACCTCCCAAGCTCTCCATTGTAGATTGTAATTTCTTACTAATCAACTTTCGGAACGCAATTGAAATTATAATACCTCAAAGAAGTATAATCGAAGGAGCTCAACAAAAAACGCAAGATAATCTTCTACTGTTACCTTTACATGCAAATCTCGGCTATATCGAATTAAGCATATAAAGTCTGCATAAAGCGCGAAGAACACAGGAAACAGAAAACAAGTCGATGGGTAACGGTAGGTTTTTCAATAGCAGGGTACCATCTAAACTCTGTCAAGTTTAGTATTTTAGCACAAACTCTATCACAGATGATCGATTTCCCCTCTATTCCGCAGAGTAAAAATATACATAATGGACAATCGGACGCACGTAGTAAAAAAGCAGGAAATTTTTTAATGCCTCAAAGAAGTTACTACGAGAAAGGTAATCAGCTATGAATCGACTCTCTATAAAAGCGCTGAAGCTAATGGAAAATTTTTTTCCCGATCTTTTGAAAATAAATTTACAGGCCGGTTAATTGTGAAAAATCCCAATCATGAAAATTATAGAATATCGATGACTCTGTCAAGGCACACCCATAACAAATACAAAGCAAGTTGAATAATCCGCTTCTGCAGGTTCGCACACTTATGAAAGAACAGAAATTAAGGATCATTCAAGCAAAGGCCACTGAAATAGCGATGCAAGAAACGTAAGACATGAGATGATCATTTTGAATGCAGTCGCAAATTTCATAACACGAGATCGAGCGTCCGAGAAAACAATCTGGCACATATTCTGAAACATACACCGACCTAGATGTAAGAGCATATACCTTGTACAACTACTAGGAAACAAGATGTGCAAGCGTCGTCCAAGTCAAAAGTTCAAAGAATTGGACAAGCTTTATTGAGAAGTAGCAAATGGTAGCCGGCAAACCGTAGTGCCGCTTTCTTTTTCGAGTTTATTTGGTGACCGCATCCGAAAATAGTCAAACCCTCATACATATTTCGTTGGCAGGCTACGAAAATATTTCAGAACTGTGTAATTATTAATGAAACACGACACGTCATACCCAAGAAAACAACAGACTAAAACTGAGATTCCGCATTTACTAGTAATTTTCAATGCTCATACTTGCCCAATACGGTCATTGATTCCATTATTATTATTATTATTCTTCCAGAAATACATTTTTTGCAATTATTTAACTACACAAGGAAAGCCAACTGCTAGATGAAGGTTGAAATTTTCCCGGGATGAAAAACCGCACGGAAATATGAGCTGTAATCGAAGTAAGTACTTATATAAATAAAAACGAAAATGGAACTCCGAATTCCAAGTTTCAACTCGAAAATTTGTTTTTCAAAGGAGACAGTCGGAAATTTGTCCAAAGTTAAAAAAAAATCATAAAGAACTAAGGCCCTCACCAAGTCTAAGACTAGCATTTTGGCCACCCCCTTCCCCCACCTAGTACGAAATTAAAAGCCAATCGAGCTCTTATCTTCTCGCAGTCCCGCATTGAGAAAACAAAAGCTCTTCTTTGAAGCTGTTTTAATCATCGGAAGTACAGGTATTCTAGTCGGCCTAGATTGAAAAAGTTCCTGAATATGTGCACTCAATTTTGTCAGAAAAATGGCCCTGTGCGTGAAAACGTTAACGCTTGAGGTTAATGACGTGGCCGACTGCGTGTTCTCCTCAAAAGGCGTCGGTAAGATTTGGGAAATTTCGAAGCTGCAGCCGTTCTAATTCTTCCCTTAACGCTGTCAGTTGTCGATCCTGCACTTTGATGAGTTTGGTCAGATGAGTGCGGTGAAGAAGGGAGCTGTAGCAGGCCTCTGCGCGAACGAAATCCGGCATTGTGAAGGCTACAAATCACAAAGATGCGAATCAGTAACTTTGGCTTTTCCTGTTAGACTGCCTTTTTATTCGTTCAAACGAAAGGGTTTGCTGTACATATCAGTACACAATTAAAAATAATTTCATCGTCTATTCCTACAAAGTGCGCAAATTTAATAATATCAACTAACGTATTTGCTCGTAAATGTGTCGGGCCTCCCACACGGAAACATTCAAATCACTGAGTTCTTTTGTCAATCGATTGTTTTCTTTTCGCATTTTCTGAGTTTGCTTTTCCTTATAGAAGTTGATTCTACTTTTGAGGAATTCCATTTGCCGTTCATGATTCTGCAATGAGAGAGTACAACAAACACTGAGGCTACATAGGCGTACACTATAGAAGAAATTAAATATTCAAATTTCATTTTTGCAGAAAGACGCGTTACTCGGTAACATGAACGAAGGTAATCTGGATTATCATTACCAAATCGACATAATAGAAACATTAATGGGTGGTAGTGAGGGTTCATCAAGGCAGATAGGTGCAGTCGCTTTGATAATTGTAGTCGGGTCTCTCGGATGAAAATTCATCCGTATATATGAAAAAAACAAAGTAGGTTGTTGACTTTGATAGAAGACTCATAGTGACTGACAGTAGGAAGGCCATCATACCATCTGCGCAGATACTTCACAAACGTTTCAGGTTTTTAAAAACAACCTTCTTGATACGCTTCCCAATACTCGGGAGATTAAGTTTTCTAGTTATCGGGTTTATGAGCACCCTTCCTACTGATTTCATATATACAATCCGGACAAGTCAATCACCGAAAAAGGAAGCTGATACCAGAAAGGCAGACAGAGATGGCTGTTTCGCACATCTTGTGATCATCAGTACGTCACAATCCACTACCGACATAACCATCTTGCTACTTGATCTTGGATTGACACTACTGACTGAACGACCGAACGACTAAGATAGCGATCACTAGAACAGTGGTTGTTATCCTTGCGTCGTTCGTACCTAAGCCCCTACTGAGGTTCGAGATGACTGAATGTGCTCAATTGTCAGCGGTCTTTAAAATCCCCATCCACTTTCTCTCGATTGGCTTCTCTGAAACAAACAAGAACGAGCTCTTCTGGACTTCGGAGATTTAATTGCGCAGTTGGTCTTAGTGAACAAACTAGTGGGGATGGAATTCACAAAGACTGCAACGGTGAGATCCACTTAGTTGGCTGACAATTGATGGCGATCTAATATTGTTAAAGAAAGATTTCCTCGCATTCGAAAAATCTTCTTCTAACTTGATGAATTAAAAAAGTTTTTACTGTTAGTGGCAAAGCGGGAGCCGCTTAAGAAGCCATAGAGAGGTAGCTACTACTGGCAGAAGAAGCCTGGAGGACAGTGCAAGTAAAGCGGCGGAGTCAAGGGAGCAAAAGAGGAGTTCGACTGCAACCAACCTTATACGAATACCTCAATCAAATAAGCAAACTCTAGGATAATCGCCCTCGAGACCTTACATTTCATATGCTGAAAGATTAATGACCGACAGAGTCATGTTTGCTCAAGTCGGCCAAACCAGTGGGATAAGCAAGCGGTTGAACAGGTGATTTAGCTCGACGAATGATTAACATATGCTAGGTACCAAAAGACAAACTACACCATATTTTCAGAAATAGAGTAAACCTGCATATTTATTCATTTAAATAGACTGTGCACCGAGAGAGCCAATTGGCTGTTATGGCAACTTTTGTCAACCTCTGCAAAAACTTGCTCCTTCTTCCACGAAGCTGGTCAAGTGGAAAAGAAAACACTTGGTCTTTCTGTTAGGCGAAGCGAACGATCGAAGTTCAGGTGTATACATAAGTAGAGAAGACGTCTGTTCGGTCGCCGTAGCCCTTTCTTCATTGAGCTTTCAAACTCTAAAAGGAGTTCATCATGAGAGAATAAGGCTGGTAGCATAAAAAACAACCGCTTTAGGGGGTATGATCCAATCAAATAACATTGACGCCAGTCTGAAGGTGCGGTTTAGGGCCCGTTTGCCGACGCCAGATCGATATATTGATTGTGTCCTCATCGGAGGTCTAGGCCTCAATCAGTTTACGGCTTGTGTTGAGTATGATGTGGGTGATTATCTTAGTGGTTGTGAAGTTAAACTAGTGACACGTCTCGTTGCTGTGACCAGCCACTTGTGATAATACGTCATCCCAACGCAAAGTCAGCTTATATTTGTATATTTGCGATCCGAGCAGCCGTTCAGTCTGCCCCGTGTAATTATAAGGGAAGTTTAGGCACGGGATACAATGAACCCGGCTGCCCACGGAAGTTTAATCGGTCCTTGATTCTCACGGCGCTGCATGAGTTCGAAAGCCCAATGAGGTATAGACAGATAAAACAACAATGGAGGACCGAAGGAGGAGTTGTGAAATTAGAGCGGGAACTTGCCTTTTTGAGCTGAGCATAGGCGCGCTCGGAATTAAAAAGTTCAGTCGTGACCAAGCCGTCGTAATCATCATTTTGAAGGTACTGGAAGAGAATAAATGGAAAAATCAAAGTAAATAGACAAGACAAGATTAAATTCAAGGTTACAAACCCAAACTTTTACAGGACCCAGAGATTTAAGTGTAGTTGAAAAACAGTTCGCTGAGGAATATCGCAGCTCATGCATGTGTCACGTCGGGGGCGCAGTTGCAGGTTCAGAATGCTTCATAGGTCAAAATCACCATGATCGGTACCTCATGGGAGGTACCTCCATGGGAGGATATCCACTATTGGAAGTGTAACCTTTAAATGCCTCGGCTTGGTCTTATTTTAAGCTTCGATGATGGACCATCACCTGCCCTCGAAAGGTTACACCAACCAAGCAATGGTTTCTGAGGTCATTCCTCTACAGATACGTATAGGTGTCATGACAATCTCTACGTTTATAATGCTAAATAGCGATGTCAGATGAAATGAGGGCCTTGTCGATAAAAAATCACATTTTTGTGTGAACAATAACATGCCTATCTGTAGCTGAAAGTGCCCACAGTACGCAAAGTTACAGACACGA